TAACATTGCCCAAGATCTCACACGAGTAATTTGATTACTTATGCTGAAAAGTCGTACATACTAAATGAGTGCATTTACTGATAAAATGTCTGTCTTTTATTCGAACAAAATAAAATTCTACTTTGATTTAGTATGACAACGGTCGAAGAATTTTCAAAACACACATCACTGAAAGATGATTAGGTTTATCTTCAGGGCACAATACGTAGTTACATAACAGTAATTAACGTTAATTAGTTTTTGCAAAAATCGTACTGTATTATTATAGATGTTCAAATGCATTAACTTTCGTTCCAGTTAATTCTTTTGCATAAAGATAATATTCATCCAGAACACCAAATCATCATGTTGTAACAGATGTTTGAGGATATGTTGTTGAAAGGCATCTACCAAGATGGCAATAGCTTGAAGAACTACTAGTAAAATATATAAATGCATTAGACTATCGAAATAGTAAGTTATGTAAGTATAAACACATACTATTTCTAGGAATACTGATATGTATAGTATGTGGCTATACACTTGTGATCAGACTAGGATTAGTTAGAATGATTTGCATACCATGACTAGCAGACCTCCATGATTGTATGACAATTCAACAAACTAATACAAAACCAATGAGTGGTAAACACTAGTTCGTTCAATACTTTGACTTATAAAACAATAGTACCGGCACTAGCTGATGTTGTTTTGATCTAAACTGGCATTGAATATGATAGATCACAGGTTCTTAATAGACTTAAGCCAACAAATAAAACCATTCCGTTCGTCAATGTAAATGAAATAACATCATTAGCATATACAATACCAATTGTAGTTATGCTGTTGTTTCGTCTGTATAAAGTTAAAAATCTAGTACTTATCATGAATTATTCTATGACAAATGAATCATTTAGAGGCATGATAGACTTCTAAACACTTGCAAAAGTGATTATTTGCGAATTGAGATCAGTTCTTTAATTCCTTCGATCGCGTTGGTATAATAAGTCTTCGTTTTCTATTAATTATATGGAATTATTAATTGTGATTCCGATCCAAAATCATCAGTTTTTCTTGTTAAAGTCTCGCCAGATGAAAAACTTTGACAAAAGCTACATATTTCAATCTTTTTAAAATGGTAATAAAATGCCTTTATTTAGGAGTTTTTATCGAAAATAAAATAATTCTAGAGAAATTGTTTTTCATGTTTACTCATTATAAATGAGTCAAAAATGACCCAACAAGGGACAAAAACTTTTCAATATGTTAAAAGGATTCTGCATGAAAATGCTGTTTGCTTGACAAATGATAGACAATAAAACATTATTTCTTTGTTTTGAATGACAAGTGCTTCATTCTTTCTATATGTTCACATGGACTATCGTTTAGAAAACAAAAAGTCTCACCTAAATTGCTTTCGATTATTTCATTTATTCGTTTTATTCAAGAGAAAATGATATATTATTATTTTCTGAGAAATTTCCCATATTTTTTTAAAATAATCGCGTGATTCTTAAGTGGTAATCAAAGAAAAAATGATTGGTTCTTCGATGTTGTTTTTAATGAATATGATTGACGTTGAAAATAATTCTCAATGCATGGAATACTCGTTGTTTTTCTGTACTAAGAAGAAACAATATGACATCTTGCTTTGTGACTATATACTTGGAGTTTAAGCCATATTATTTTTCAATAAGATTTAAAAAACAAATTCTTTTTAAACATATCTATTAAATATTATTGTACGAAGTCATATTAAAAAAAATAATAACAACTTAAATTCGGTACAAAAATTACAATTATTCTTTTTCTTTCAAACGTAAATGAACTTTCGTGACTGTTATTTTTTTATTGTAATGTAAAAAAAATAAATAATAAAATAGACGTTCAGAACGATTCTGACATCGTATCAAAAACAAAATGACGTTGAAAAAAAAGAGAAGAAAAATAAATCAAGATTACATTTAATTAAGAGAAACGAACGGAAAAAGTATATAAGATATGTGAAATTAAACTGTAAGTTAAAATAACCAAAATACAAAAACATATTGTTTTTACAATGGCTCAGCCGAAGCAAATTCTCTTTGTGATTATGTTTTGGCTTATGATGACTAAATCAATGAGTATATATATTTTTTTATCTAAATGTTATCTAATTTAAGTTGATCTATTTTCTTTTATTATAGATAGTCAAACATGTTCATACATGTGGGATCCAATCTTTGAGTCTAACTCAGTCAATCTTCCAGCTATGTGTCCTGGTAGTTGAATAATTGCTTTATTTTATAAATATATTTTTATTATTTTTAAATAGTGGACACAGTTAGTGGCTCATCATGCGTTTTTCCATTTAAGTATGGCGGAGTAAGTAATAGAATTTAGTCATAAACTGTCTTTTTATGAACAAAATTCATCTAATTCTTCTTAAATCATTTTTTACCATAAGATATTTCTTAAATAAAGCATAGATGAAGTAAACACTCTCATAGTGAAGTACAGAGATAAAAATTTGGAGCGTCTTACACAATGGGCAATCCCTATAGAACGGATAGGCGCGACTTGTTTTCTGTCAAAAATGCAATTTTCTTTTAAATAGAAATATTAATTTTCAGTACTCAATAAAAAGTTTCATGGGGAAAAAGTGAAATTCGAAAAAGAAGATTTTCGACAAGAAATGCGTGACGAGACCGTAACCCTAAATTTTTGTCAAAAATATTTTTTATTTTAAAAACTAACAAGTGATACATTATTCGATGCAGGCTTTTGTGTTAATTCCAAATTATGTCCTTATTTTTCTCTTAAAGTACTCTTGAGATAAAATGACGTCGAAAACCTGTATTTCAGTCCAGAAGTATTTATGTATCTTTATGCTAATTGAAAAAGCATTCATACTTTTTTTCAAAACAAATCTTTCATATAGAACAAGAGCTCTATGATTTATTTCATAAGTCTTTCTACTTTCCTCTAAGATGACAGAAACTTGACTATTTTTCCGGCCTAGGATTTTCCCAAACTCTTTAAAAACTAGAATCATTTTTTTTAAACCAAAAAGTTGACCATTAGCCAAAGTATATTGGACATTATCTGAATCTGAAAACATATATCACCTTCATTTTTTATCGAATGTTCACATTATTGCCCAACGTATTCCTCATGACGAAGAAATAAGTTCCAAAATAAATAGAATACAATAATCTCCCTGTAAGCAGTGACAACAGCTACATCGTGTGTCATATTTCAATTCTCCAGGGATTATGCTAGCAAATTTTTCATGTGATATTGTGAAAGTAATTTATTGATAATTAATATATATTTTATCTAAAAAAAGATAACGTATACAACTTGTACCATCAATGGTCCGAATAATAACAACTATCAACCACAATGTGCTATTGCAGTTAATTCAAATAATACTGCATTATTATGGTCGTTTTGTATTGGTAACTTATCAAATGTAATTATTTGAGAAAATAAAACATTTTTAATTTCAGTTCCTACTGATGCAGTAATTTACTATGTTACAACTCGAAAAGGTGGTTCATCAAATGTAAAAGATGGTAGTATTCAAGGTGGTACTATGATATGGATATATGGCAATCGATTTGCAGATAATGGTTTTAGTTTATTACCATCTGTATCAAATACAAATACAGTACAATTAGTTAGTGGTTATTCTATTTATGATTGTGAAATGCATAATGATAAAGTAACTAGTACACAATTGACTTGTTATGCATCAGCTATGCCTGAAGGTGTTTATCAAATTCGAGTTTATGTTAATAATAATTTAATTCCATTATATCAATATATTGATATAAATCGTGCAACTTTTATACCATCATTAAGTTATACACCAATTATTTCTGGCATTCAGCCACAAACCGGAACACCACAAACATTAATTACAATATCAGGTTTATTTCGTACAGCATGTTATTCACGTGATATTGATGGTTGCGCTCAAGATAATAATCCACTTATTTCTCGGTAAGATTTTTTTTTCCCATTAATTAAATTTATTTATCTATTTAATAAATTATCAAATTAGAATTTATTTGGGTGGTCATCTTTGTAACGTGATTAATCCAGTTACAGGAGATATGTAAGTATTTATTTTCAATGATTGCTGTGTTTTATATGTTAACATTTATTTTATTGATAAGCTATGCCAATGTAAATAATACATATCTTAAATGTAATTTTGAGGGTACTGAAGTTGGTATGTATACTTAATGATTATTTCTTAAAAAAATTATTATAATATTTTAATAGGAATATTTAATCTGAGTATGCTAGTTACTAATGAATATGGTCGTTCATTAGTCAATTCAAATCTTTATCGAGTATCAGCTACGGGTGACTTATATACATTTCAAAGCTATGCTGGTTTGTGCAGTTCTATTGAATTATATCCAAATGTTTATTGTTTTCTTTTTTTGAAGTTATTTCAAATGTAACACCAAATCAAGGCAGTATAGAAGGTGGTACTAATCTAGCTATTTATGGAAATTATTTCAGTGACAGTCAACAATATCTATTAGTAGTTAAAATTGGAAATGAATATTGTACAATTTTAACTGTAAATCAAACAATAATCCAATGTAAAACACCAAAAATACCAACAGTTACTCAAAATCAATATCAAGGTTAATAAACATTTTGAATTAAATATATATCCTAGTGAATGCACTGGGTTCAGAGTATCCTACTATCTTAGGCGACGGAACGTTTTGAATCTAGAGCAGGCTCAACTCAACAATCTTTATAAGATTCTCATCGAGAATTTCAGAATGGGGATAATAATGCTCATTACATTGTAGGTTTTGTTCACATTATTAAAAATATTTCTTATACATGTAAACTTAGTCATTGAAGACGAAGAAAACTTTCGGAAGCTTCTAGTTTATCTTACTTGAGTTTCCGCTATAGTTCTTCTTCACTTTCTTTTTATAAAGGACTACTACTTCAAATCATTGACAATGATTGAATGTTTTCTCAAGAACATTTTCTAAGTCTACTTCACTACGAAAATGTGACTATTGACCAATTAAACCAGTAAAAAATTGTTGTTGTTTAAATTAGAATTTCGATGCATTGCATAAATTTATCATTCTATTGAAACGAGAAATAAACGTTTGAGCCTATCCAAGCTTCGTGATTCCACCATCTATGCCTACTTATAATATGTCAAAGGAACATTTCGATACTTTATGACATTTTAGTATTTGACTACAAAATACTTCTCACTGTTCAATCTATCATTTTTTGAAAAATGTTTCGTAGAATACTATAGAAACTGGGCAAATACTCATATCCTTAGACAATTCTCATAAGGGTACTCGATAAAGTACTTGCTCACTTGTACACAGGTACCTTGAACTCAGGACACTCACTAAAAATATCTTCGTAACATTATAGGTGGTCGTGGCTTACATATTTTTCGTGATTTGGGTGTCATTAATCAGGTACAAAATTAGGTGTTTCATATTATTTCATAGTTTGATTTTTCTTAATTTTTATTCAGATTAATTTATCAAGTACTAATCCACCATACCCGAGTATTAATGCTAGTCAAACATGGACAGATGATGCTTTATATATGTCAAATTCATCATTATCTGAAACAGTATGGCTTATTGGTTTTATACGTGTTCCAAAATCAAATAATTTTACTTTTATTTTGGATACCAATGGTGCAGCAGCTCTATTTCTTAGTACGAATGATAATCCAGCTAATAAAGTAAAACTTTGTGATGCAAGAAATATTCAATCAAATACAATAGAATTACAAAATGATACAAAGTATATATATCTATATCTATATTAAGCAAAGATTTCCAATAGAATTCTAAAATTCTTATTTTTTAGTTATTATTTATTTTGTGTTGGTTCTCGATCAAATGGTTTTTTACGATTAGGAATTCAAGCACAAATATATGAAACAACATTAACAGCAGGAACATCAAGTTTTGTTCTTAATGAAATTCAACAAATTGATATTAATGCTACAATCATATCTGAACATCAAGTAATAAGAATCTATTTTGTTTTTTTTTTATATTTGATAAAGTGTGTATAAAAAAAATCTTTATATTTTAGCAAATTATTTATACAACTAATTTAACGAATGGAGCATCAGAAGTTCAATCATTACAAGTTGATAGTTCAATATTTCAAATTGGTTTTCGTGGTGTTTATACAGGTTCATTTCATTCTTATATTATCTCATTGAAATAATCTTACAAAAAATGTTTAATTTTTCCTCTAGCTATTCTTACTGGACGACCCACTGCTATGATTGTTCAAACAGCTCTTAATGATTTGCCATCAATTTTTCCATTGTCTGTATCAGTTTTAGCAACAAGTACACTTTATTTTATAACATTTCCAATTGAAATGGGTGATGTTCCATTACTTACATGTATTTCATCATCATCTAATATACCAAATATAACTGAAATTATTCAAGGTATTAGTTCAGGTTCAAAATTATTCTTTTCATTAGATGATCAATTAACAAATTCAATTGATTTTATTAATACTAATATAACTCAAACAAATCTTTTAGCATTATTCAATGGTTTATTTAGTATACTTTGTCCACCGTCAATAAATAATGCACAAAGAACATCATCAATTGTTTATTTACAAGATTATGAGACAAATTGTATTTATGATAATACACCAATTACAATCAATGCGTTTTGTGGTCAATGTTCATATATTGGTAACACATTAGTTAAGGGAAACACTCGATCAGGAAATTATTTATGTTTCGCCTATCGTTTACTTAATAATTATGTTACTTCTATTAGTACAACCGTACAAATTATTAGTGATACAATACAGACAATTTGGTCAGACATTTCATTTACACCAATAGCTGATCATAATTGGCATTATACATGTATTGATATACGTGCAAAACTCATATCTCAATCAGCAATAGCTTCATCTGTTTCATCTATTATAATTACTGATGCATCACTCAATCGTAATATTAAAAGAGGTATTATTATTGATACAGTATCAATAAGAACAGCATTACCCTATGGATATGATATTGCAAGTTCTAATTCAAGTGTTCAATCATTAAATTCATCATGCATTTTTCCATTTTATTATAATGGAAAAAGTTATTCAATATGTACATTAAATGAAAACAATATACCTATTTGTGCTGATAGTTTTAATCAAATATATTCATGTTTTAGTTCAGCTATGGAAGGTGTACGAAGACATTATCCAAAACATCAATTAGTTTATAATACATTAAAAGTTCAATATACACCAGCTAATTCGACTATTGATGTTTATTTTCGATATAGTGATTGTACAAATCCATCACTTATCGGTGCTTGGCCTAATTCGGCAAGTTACTTTTTTTTGTTTATATGTTTTTTTTTTTCATTATTTACATTCTGTTTTTGTTTTCAGAATGCAATAATAACAAGAATAACAACAGTATCTAGTCCTGCAAGTGGTTCATTTGATCTTATCTTTAATGGACAAACATATTCATCAATTCCAGTTGATATTTCAACATTAGATTTAACTAATCGTCTTCAATCATCATCTGATTTTGGTTTTTTAAATATAACACGTTCACGTGATTGTACAGGATATTCATATAGAATTGAATGCTTAGGTAATGGTGGTAAAAAATCACCTATATCAATTGCAAATATTGATTCTATCTCACCAAATGGTACAACAGTTACAGCATCTGTCATACAATCAGGTGGAATTATTTATAAACCATTACCGGGAGATATGACAAGAACATATCATACAAATCCTCAGATAGAAGTTTTTGTTGGCGGTTTCCTATCCAAATGTTCCAGTAGTAATGCATGTGATTTTCAATGGTCAACTACTCGAACACCATCTGTATCATCCATTGAACAAAATGATATGATATTGACAATTACTGGTACGGATTTTAGTACAACAGCAAGCTCCAATGAAATTATTATTGGAACAGAAGGTTCATGCACAGTAATATTATCTACGACAACATCATTAATATGTACAATTATTGATGCTCCGTCAGGCACTTATTCTGTACAAGTCAACGTTGCTGATAAAGGTTATGCAATAGGTACTTCGAATTTTACAGTAACAATACCACTTCAAATTACTTCAATTTTGCCAATAGAAGGAGGAGCAGGTCAGTTCATGATTCTCGATAACTAAAAATCTAGTTTGTATCTTTCTTAAATCTAGGTGGAGGCTACACTCTGACACTGACAGGATCAGGATTTTCATCATCATCGACAGTTACTATTGATAATAACTTATGTACTGATCTTATAATATCTAATTTTTCTTTTATAACATGTATTGTACCACCTACAACTGCTATTAATGATAGTGAAGTATCTGTAATTGTTGCTGATGGTTCTAATTCCATTATTGCATCTACTCAATTCGTATATAATGTTGCTGATACACCTTCAATTACATCAATTAGTCCTAACGTTATGAATACAGCTGGTGGTCAATTGACTATTAATGGAACAAATTTTGGTACTAATTCAGTTTCTGTATTTATTGGCACAATAAGGGCAGCTATTATTTCAATATCATCTACACAAATTCTTGCTATTTTACCTTCATTAGCTCCTGGTATTTATTCAATTAAAGTTTCGACAACAAATGGCTATGCTCGTCCATTAGTACAAATTGAATATCGTTTTTATATTCAAAATATTTCACCACAAATTGGTTCATTATATGGTGGAACTGATGTATATATACAAGGAGAAGGTTTTAATGATTCATCTGTTGTCACATTTACTGATAATAATAATAATAATAATAATAAACCATGCACTATTATTTCTATTCAATCAAATCAAATCCATTGTCAAACAACTACTGCTATTTCTCGTGTTATTATTACATCAGATGGTATTGATCCAATATATGGAAGTGGTTTTGCTTGGTCACCACAATATGTAACGGTAGAACAAGGTACCATTGTCGAATGGCAATGGAATACATCAACTCTTTTATCGACACTTGCTTATAAAGTACAACAAGTAGCTAATGGTTATGATACAGAACCACTACCAGGTGGATTTGATTCAGGCAGTGCAACATCATCGGGTAAAAAGCAACTAAAAAGAATTAAAGGATCCTATCGAATTTGATGACATATTGAACATTGAAAAATCAAATGCACAATTATGTATCCAAAACATGATCAGTTATTGATCATTGTACTTATTGATGTCAATCGAAATTGTTTGTAAAAATATTTTTCTTATATACATTTTTGTAGGGCTTTTCATAAACTACAAGCTCATTATACTTAACGTACTCGGTCATGCTACTTTCGATAGAAAAAAAATGCAATTTTTCAATGGTTTACCACTGGTTTTCAATAATGACGAGTCTCCATATTTTCAATAGTGTTGATTATAGAAAATGTGATGAGATACTAAACTTTCTTAGAAATTATCCGTGATGTAGTACTGTATAATATATTATTTGAAAGTTCTTCAAGATGAGTGTGTGATACTCAAAATAGCCTTATATAGAAAAATTTTCACCAATTTTTTACGTAAAATTTTCTTCTTTTAATACTGCATATCGACATATTGACTATCAAAAGTTAATTTTCGTGCGAAATAAACATAATATTCGAAATCAACATAACAAACTACATCGAATAGCTTATATTTTAACCAAATCTATTTCCTCCAAAATTCGACCCGTGGTGGCCCACAGGATGAAATTCAACAAAAAATAGCTGAGGAGTCACATCGGTTGGATTTTGCTGAAAATAATATTTAGTTAAAGTATATGCTTTCAATGCAGTTTGGAATACACCACAATTGACTTTTGATAGTCAAAATATTGCAATATAGTATTAGAAGAAGAAAATTGGCATAAAAGATTAGTGAAGATTTTTCAATGTAAAGCTATTTTAACTATCACACACTCACCTTGTAGAACTACCAAATAGTGTAGTTTGTAGTGCTACATTGCCGGTACTTGATGAGAAAGTCTGGCATGTGGTCACATCTTCTATGATTGACACTATTGAAGATAAGGAGACTCACTATTAATGAAACACAATGGTAAACCATTGAAAAATTGTATTTTTTCCTGCCATAAATAGGATAACCGAAGATTTTAAGGATGTAAGCTTGCAGACCGTGAAAAACTCTTCAAAATTGTATATAAGAAAAATATTTTTACCAACAAAGTCGACTGATTCTAAGGAGTATAGTGATTAGTATAATAGTTGTTTATTAGTGAATTGAGTCTAGTTCTCTCAAAGTCTTGTGAAAATAAGATTTAATAGTAATCTTTTGATGCGTCTCAACTTGCTCTACAACATGATATATTTAATTTCTCAATTCTGAATAGGTCACTTTATTTGACAGGGTTCATTCAGTATCAAAAGGTCTTTATGATTCATTTCCTTATTTTTAGGAACGTTTTCATATCAATTTCAAACATTAGATACTTATTACTATTGGTCACCATTTGTTGATTCATCCGGTCAAATATCTATGCGTGGAGTGATAACAGTAATTCCTGCTCAACCACAGATACTTACGATGAACATCATATCAGGAACATTTACTGGTAAACTCTCTATGTAGTTCTTTTATAGAACGACATGTGCCTTTGATTTTTAGCTCAATCATGTACTTTTCCATTCAATTATGATTCTATCAATTATACATCATGTACTACAGTTAACGATACTCAAGAGTGGTGTTCACCAACATTTGATTATACTGGACAACGCCTCTATTGTACAGCTTCAGGTAGGAATCTGATCGATAAAGTTAAATTGTAAAATTTAAATAATCTTTTACTATTAATTTTTAGCTCCTATACCAGCGTCATCTTGTAATTCAAGCTCTTGGATTGATCCAAGTTCATGTTCACAAACGATTCCTAATTCAAATTCACTTCAGTTTCTTTTTACACCATGTACTATTGGTTCAGTAGCATCAATTTCACCACAACAAGGTATTGCTGGTACATTCATTACAATCACAGGAACAAATTTCAGTACAATACTATGTGAAAATCATATTTTCATTGGTTCATCCTATGATTGTTCAATAGCAAGTGCATCTACAACAGAAATTGTTTGTGAAATTGCTTCGAATTCATCACTTAATGCTAAAATGATTCAAGACATACGTGTTGTACGAGATCGTCAAGGTTATCTAAGTAATAGTGGTCTTATACAATTTCAATTTCAAGCATCTATTTCTAGTATATTACCCATAGAAGGTTATTTTTCCTTTTATATAGTCTCATTATAAAGAAAAAAACTAATTTCTATCTAGGTTCAATCTATGGTGGTACTGAAGTTACAATAACTGGTGATGGATTTATACCGATTGATACTCGTATCATTGTTGGAAGTATCGAATATACTAGTATGGCAACAATTACTTATTCTCAAATAATATTTACTACTCAAATACCACCAACTGAGTACATTAATCAAATTATTCCTATTACGATATTGGTTGGGACAAATATTGCTATATGTTCATTCGAAACATGTTCATTTACTTGGGCTGAAAGTGTTACACCTTATCTTGATTCAGTTTATCCAACATCTATCGCTGGCCCACAATTATTAACATTGACTGGTCGAAATATAGCAATGAATGATACAATGTCATCTACTAGTATTCATGTCACTATCAATGGGCAAATATGCAACGTGACATCAGTATCGAACTCTACTATTGTATGTCAAACTGATAGTATTCAAGTTGGAGTTCATCCTATTGTCGCATCAATTGATGGTATGTTTTAATGTTTTGAAAAAAATAGTTTTATATTTCCTATTATGTTCACTATAGGTATTGGAACAGTTCTATCATCAGCAATGCTTATATCAAGAATATCTATTTCAAATTTTTCACCTACAAACAGTAGTATCTATGGTGGTGCTCTTCTCACAATTGATGGTAATGGGTTTGCTAGTTCAATCACTAATGTTGAAGTTATGATTGGTTCAAACAGATGTACAATAGTTCGAACAACACCTGGCCAAATTCAATGTATAACTCCAGCTCAAGGATCTAATCCATCATCAGTTACAATCCATATTATTTCAAATGGTATAACTTTTTCTGATGCGTTTACAGCGACGTATAGCTCAGCTATTACACCTACAATCACATCAATTTATCCTACATCAGGAAGTACTGGCGAAACATTGACAATTACAGGCATAAATTTTGTTGATGATGAAACGAGTATTTTAGTAGGTGGCATTTCATGTGCAATTATCAATATGTCAACAACATTGATTACATGTACGGTAGGATCAAGCCCGGCCGGAAATCAATCAGTCGTTGCTTATGTAACATCGGTTGGTAAATCAAATTCGAATATTCAATTTCAATATATTTTACAAGTTAGCAATATAACACCTTCAAGTGGTAGTTATGGTGGTAGTCAAATAGTAACTATTGTTGGTGATGGATTTAGTGGGTACAATATTAGAGTTGCTATTTGCAATCAAACTTGTCAATCAGTAGTTATTATATCAAATACACAAATGACTTGTGTTACACCGTCAGTAACTATTAATTCATCAGATACGACATGTAATTTAACAGTGTCTGTTGGAAGTTTAACACAAAGTATACCGTATGTTTATGAAGCGAATTTAACAGCAGTTGTAACATCTATTAGTCCAACTCGAGGTGGAACTGGTGGTGGTACACTGTTAACAATCTTTGGAACAAATTTTCCGTAAGTGTTTTAACTCAGTTTAAACTTTTGAACGAAAGAAAATGTTCTTTCTAATATTTCAGAGCGACAATTAATGCAGTATCAGTGAGCATTGCTGATATTTCATGTTCAATTCAAACAATTTCATCAATGATTATAACCTGCTTGACAGGTAATTATTCAGAAACAACCATTCAGGCACCTATGATTGTTCATTTGGTTAACGGTGGTAATGCAGTCGGTTCAGTTCTATATCAATATATTGATCTTTGGTCAAGTCCATGGACATGGGGTGGTGATACTCCGCCTGAGGCTGGTACTATTGTTTCAATTGAAAATGGAAAAACGGTTCATTTCGATACAATAACACCTATTCTTAAAGCTGTGATCATTGATAATTCATCCCTAATTTTTGATGATAATCAAGATGTCAGTTTGAATGCTGAATACATTTTAGTTGTTAATGGTGGTCGTCTACAAATTGGTACTGAAGCAAATCCATTTCAACATAAAGCTGTCATCACGATGCATGGTCATTTAAGATCAATAGAATTACCAATCTGTAGGATATATTTTTCATGTTTTTAAACGAAAATAAAAAGATGTTATCGATTGATTTTTTTTCAGTCGGAGCTAAAGTTTTGGCACTACGAGATGGCACAGTGGATATGCATGGAAAAACTGTTACACAAACGTGGACACATCTAGCTGCAACAGTTTCTAGTGGCTCCTCTCAAATTACTCTTCGTCAAGCAGTTAATTGGCCAGTGAGCAGTACAATTGTCATTGCAACTACAGGTGATTATTTAAGTCAAGGACAAAGTGAAATACGTACAATAACAGCTGTATCAGACAATGGATATACATTAACATTGAATTCACCATTGACCTATACTCATTTGGGTGTCACACAATATGTTGGTTCCACAACAGTGGAAGTTCGTGCTGAAGTGGGTCTTCTATCCCACAATGTTATCTTTCAAGGTTTGCCAGTGACATGAATGACCAATATGAATAAATTTCCTTTTATTTCTAAAATGATAGGCTCCATTACTGAAACATGGAATACATCCATTGAAGCATGCCCAACTGGTTTTCATCCTGGTAAGAAACAACAGTCAATTTTTATTGAATTAGAAAAAAAAGATTGTATTATTATTTTTTTTATTAAGGTGAATTTGCAGTTCAAACATGTTTTCTTGGTCGATATGGTGAAGATATAGGTTCTGATCAATTTGGTGCAACAATCATGGTCAGTGCTAGTACGGATAGTTCTGATGGTATACAACGAGCGATACTGCGTTTATCAAATGTTGAAGTAAATTTTCATTGTATATGATTGATTTTATTTAAAATTTATTTGTATAAAGGTATACAATGTCGGTCAAGCATTTCGTCTTGGTCGATATCCAGTTCATTTTCATATGAATGGCAATATGAATTTATCATATATTAAATCATCATCCATTCATCAAACATTTAATAGAGCTATTAATATTCATGCCAGTCATTATGTCACAATAGAAAATAATATCATCTATAATGTTATGTATGTATATACATATTAAGTTTTGTTAAAAGATGTTATGATACACCATTGAAATTGTTTAGGGGTGGAGCAATCTTTTTAGAAGATGGTGTTGAAACTGGTAATGTTTTATATGGTAATTTAGCTGTGTATGTTCGAACAAGTTCAAGTTTACTCAATGAAGATGTAACACCAGCGGCTTTTTGGGTAATACTAAAGTAAATCGATAATTCATTCAAGATGCACAACATTTCGAATTTTAGGTGACCAATCCGAATAATATCGTCGTGAATAATGCTGTTGCTGGTGGTACTCATTTTGGTTATTGGTATCGAATGCTTCGAACACCTGATGGACCATCATTTGCAATGTATTCAAATTATTGTCCTTATCGGCAACCATTTGGTCGATTTTTTAATAATAGTGTACATAGTGTTGGTCGTTTTGGTGTTTGGATCTTTCCTGAATATTCACCAACAGTAGCGGGTAATTGTTGGAATGATGCACCCTATCAAGCAATATTTGATGGATTGATATCATGGAAAAATTCTAAAGGTTTTGAATGGGTTATGTCAAGTTCAATTCAAATAAGAAATGCAATTGTTTTTGATAATGATGATACGGGTATTCGATGTGTTACTGCTATTAATCATCAAGCAACAAATCTGCCAAAACTTCGTGCTACATTTTATAATGAAAGTAAAGGTTCATCAGTAATTAATTCAATCATAATTGGTGACTCAGGAGTATCGGGAAATCCAATCGTACCAACAGAAGGTGGTCTTGTTGGTAAGCTTTTATATATAAGAAAGATAAATAGAACAACCTATGTAATTTTTCTTTTTACAGTTATGTGGGATCGTGGTCTTCGTGTCCGAAATATTTCATTTATCAATTTTCCAAGTTCAAATACGCAAGCTATTTATGGGCCATTTATTACTGGTCGCTGCATCGTATATTGTGGAGGTATAAGAAAAAAAAACCAATTGCTTTTTTTACTGTTGTTGTTAAATATCTGTCTTTTTTTTGTGTTTCATACAAGGTTGGTTAACTAAATTTTCTCAATTATCATTTACAAATGTAGCTAATCGAGGTAATTTTCGATGGTCATATGATGGTTTATATCAAGATGAAGATGGCTCATTATCTAATGTATCTGGTGCAATAATTTTGGCACCTGATGGTCTTTGGAATACATCAAATGCATGTCGAACAACACCGAACTTTATCAATGCTATTACATGTCCATCATCATTAGGTACATGGATACGATTTGCTTTTAATAAAGCTAGTTTAGGACAAAATGGTGAATATTTAAATGTTTATGATGAATTCAATCATCATACTATTGTACTTAATCTTGCTAAACGACTTACACATCCGATTGGTTATATGATGACATTATTATCTAAAAATATTTATTTATTTCAATTTCAAAATGCTAATGTAAGTTTATATTTTTCTGCAATAATAATTTAGACAATATTCTGAATATTATTCTTTACATTAGAGTTCAGTCAATTTATCTTATTCAGGTATTGCTTATGGTTTAGAACCTGGTGATTATCTTATTATACGTCATAAGATTGACTATAAACCTGATATTGTCTATACAGTTTCAAGTTCATTAACACTTAGTCAATCAAATACACCACTTAATGGTTCTACAAGTAACAATGGTGATTGGTATTATAATACTAATACATCAATGTTTTCTTATATTAGTAATCATTTTCTGTTATTACGCTTTATATGTAAAAAATTTTGTTTATTTTGTCTAGTAAAAAATCCATCGTCAAATACCGTCTCAATTGATGTATCAATCTCACTAAATATCATCAAATGTCGATATCCTAATTGTGAATCCCCACCACAGCCTGGTCTTGAATTACCTGCAACCGTTCGACCAGCTAGTGCATTGTATTGGTCAAATGATTCAGATTGGTCATTTGTATTAGAAGGCTACGGTGGATATGGTAATTGATAGTTCATTGAATAGATTGTTTTTTTTTTTGGTTTTCATTTCTCTTTTCTTGTCCTACATTAGGAAGTGTTAAACCTGGTGATGATACAAATATATATATTCCTCGTGGTATATGGCTTGTTGTAAATTATCCCTTACCTCGTATTCGTTCATTACGTATCGATGGTGTACTCGAATTTGAACAAGTTTGTTTTTTTCGTTTGATTGTTTTTTTAATCAAGACCTGAACTCTGTCGTTTTGTTTTTAGGGTGTTGATAATACTCTTATTGTTGATAGTATTCTAATTAATGGTGGTCAAATGATTGTTGGTAAGTAAGACATTTCTCGTGCAGAATTCATTAAAATATCATTTTAATAGGTTGGCCGAATAAGCCACTTACTTCCAAAGTTGATATTATCATCAATGGTTCCTCAACAATAAATGTTTTATTACCTAATGATGCTGGATCTATTGGAACTAAAGTAATCGGTGTTTTAGGTGGTCTTGATTTACATGGTCTAAAACGTAATGTATCATGGACACGTCTTGCTACAACAGCTTCATCTGGTCAAAATACAATTACATTAAATCAACCAGTTGATTGGATAGTTGACGATGAAATTGTATTAACAACAACAGATACAAATATTGAACATACAGAACGACATACTATTGCAAATATCAGTATAGATAAAACAAGAATCATAACAGTTAATCCTCTTGTTTATACACATGTTGTTATTCATAATGTATTTCCTAATGGAAAAATATTTCATATAGCTGGTGCTGTTGGTCTTTTAACACGAAATATACGTGTAATTAATCGAAGTCCAGCTTCGGAATTATTTGGTTTTCGAATTCTTATTACTGATTATGCAGCAAATATATGGAATCCAGTAGCAAATGACTATATTTATACATATTATAAAGGTTATGCTCGATTATCTAATACACAATTTATTGGTTATGGCCAATATGTTGATTCAGCCAATGAAGATAAACGTGAAGGTGTTCATATATATAATCTTGGTAATTGGAATTCTTCTCGGCCAACATATATTGATTCATGTTCATTTGATGGAGGTTATTATTCAGCGTAAGTTATATTTAGATTTACTTTTTTTTTTAAGATCGAAAATATTTTGTTTTGTTCAAGAATTGGTATATGGGAAACACATGGTATTCCAATAACAAATAATGTTGTTTATAAAACTTATGAATCAGCAATTGTTGTAACAGGAAAAAATAGTATTATTGAAAAAAACCTTGTTTCAACTATTTATTGGTCAGGTACAGCTCAGCCAAAATTAGCAGAATTTAATAATAATAATGATGGAGCTATCATGTCAAAAGATGCTATTAGTGTAATTATGAAGGTATTAATTTGTTTTTATTTATTTAAGTTTAATGGTAAACGATAATAAAAATGTTTAGGACAATTTAGTAGCAGGTGTAGAACGTTTAGCTTATCGTATTCAAGGAAATTCTTGTTCGGGAACTGTTTTGCCAAATGATATAAATAATGATTATTCAAATAATGAAGTTCATTCAGCAATGTCTGGCGTTAATATTTGGCCTATGGATAAAGGTTTTGAATATGATTTGAGTAAGTTATTAAGACAAATTATGATTTGATAATAAAGACTTCATTCATGTTATTTTAGATTGTATATTGATCCATGATTTCAAGTAAGTTCATTAGTTTTATCAAGTTGTATGTTTTCTATCAATTTCTTGTTTAAATAGAACCTATAAAGCATGGTATTATGGTCTATATATCAATACAGCTCGCAATATTATTATTGATTCGTGTACAGTAGCCGATGGTAATGTTGGTATATTTACATTTGTTATTGGCCCTACAGGTAGATTTTTTCAAAATAAATTTATTAAATTATTTAATTTCTATGTTATATATTATCTTTTAGCTCTATCTCATGTAGTTGGTAATAATTCAGTAACAATTCTTAATTCAATGGTTATAGGTTCTATAACACCTGATGATTGTAATGATACTCCAAATACTACTACTGTCAGTTTAATAAATAGTGTAAAAGCTATTCCAACTGTATCAGCTACATCATCAACAGGAAATCCTGGTGGTCGATCAGGTATTGTCTTTCCATTTTTTTCACGTGACAATTTGATGCCACGTCATCCATGGACTGGTATTGCTGCTTATCCATGTAGTAAGTTAAATAGAAATGCCAATAACAAAAAAAGAAATAGCATCATCATATGTTTAGTTGATGGTTTAATGACAATAATAAATGTAACATTAACATTTTATAATGATATATGTTCACGTCGTGATATAGCCATTCAAGTTGGACAACATAATGATGATGGTCAACATCCAATAGTAACTAATTTAATATCAGTATATAATACATCACAGATGAATTTGATATTTAATGGGCGACCAAATCTTGATGTTGTTAATCCGAGTGATTGTGTTGGTAAGTCTATTGTTTATTCTGTTTTTTTGGGTTTGATACTTTTAATGAAAATTTAGATATGGATTGTGATGGTTTAAAAAAAAATTTACTTATTGATACTGATGGAACATTATTTGGTCAACCAGCAAGTGTTTTTTCTCAAGCTGAATATCTTTGGGGTAATTTATTATTTCTTAGAAAGTTTTTGTTTTTTTATTGATTTATTTCTCTAAAGGTGATCAACAACATGGTGTTGGTGATTATCGTATTCCATTAGTTGCATTAGCAAATCTTACAGGTCATATGATAAATATAAATACTTTATATCCTAATCGTGGTATTAGTCGTGCATCAACATGTATTTATCAATCATCATGGCAAATGTATATCTGTCCAAATACAACTGATTATCGAATGTTAATTATTGAAAATATAGATTCAGATACTGAAACAAGACGTCTTTCACCTGTAGCTATTATGTCTGATAATGGTTATATTGATTTAATAAATGGACCACAAGATCATGGTTGGTGTAATGGATATACATGTCAAAAACGTATATCAACATTTATGTCATTAATACAATCAAAACATTATTATGATATATATTTATCAAGTACAACACCAAATCATATACGTTTTCGTTTACTTAATAGTGATTCATCAATAGTCAACACTTTATCACTTTATTATGATTCATTACAACAAATTGATGTTTATGCTAATAATATTTATGTATCACCAGTAAATCGTGATTATAGTTATAGTTATTTAATGTTATCTGATCAACCAAATAATATAACATTTACATCAATATCTGGTTCAAATTATTTTAATAGGTAAAATAAAGTTTAAATATTTAATTATTCGATTATTTTAATTTAGAACAACAAGAATGGCATCATTTTTAATTAATGGTATTACTGTAATTGATTTAAAAATATCTCAATTACTTGTACTGAATTTTAATTTACCACCACAAACACCATCATCATTTTTTTCATTGAATTTAACTGCTAATCTAGCTGCTATACTAGGTGTCAGCCCAGATAAAATACGACGTGTTAATATCGTTGCAGCTAATAACAATAATAATAATAGGTAAATTACATTTTTTTTTGTAAGTGAGAGATATTAGCGTTGTCCCTACGAGATTACTGTATAAACAATAATGTAGCTTCTTTCGCTAATCAGTTAATCACGCAAAGATTGTTTTATTCTATCTATTGTAGAAAACATCTCTTCATCATTCTTTGACTTAATCATATCAACACCCTACTCCTACACTTCAATACTCCTTTTAGATTGTGTTTCATAAAAAATATATTTGTTTTTACAGTCGTATTCGTCGTCAATTGTCAATAATAACATTAACTGTTGAAATACGTGATGATCCAGTGGCAAATTTATCAGCCAATTCTGCTGTTGAAACCGAACCAATTTCAAATATTTGTTCAGCTATTATTAATCGTTATCAATCAGGTGAATTACATCAAGCATGGGCAGAAAATCCGTTCACTGGTAATACAACACCGATAGATTTGAGCATTCAAGAACCATTTAATCAATCATCTATATCATTAAGTATAATTCATCGAATAGAACTTGTTACACTTCCGTCATCTTGTCGTGAACAAAGTCCATGCGGTACGCAACCAAAATTAGTTGCATATGATGAAGATGGAAATGTTATAGAAAAATTAGGATCAAATGATCAACCATGGCAAGTTACTGCTAGTGTTATTGGTGATTCAAATATAACATTAATTGGTGCAATTGCAAATTATTCTAATGGACAAACACAATATACATCATTTGGTTTATCAGCTACAGGTAATTATCAAGTACAATTTGCTTTTATTCAACCAAATAATGTAACAAGGTGAATAAAAAAAAATTCATTTTTTGTTTGTTTAATTCTATTTATTTTATAGTTCATTTATGTCTAATATAAATTTAACAGCTAATTCATCATCATTAACAATTACAAAAGCTATATTAGCTGCAAAACAAATTGATCATATATATGTTATTTCAATAAATGAAACATTTAATATATCAGTTGTTATTGTTGATAGTCAATCTCGTTTACCAATTGAAAATATTCATTGGCGTAATATGACATGGTCAGCAAATGTTTCACTTTATAATTTACCGGAGTTTAATAGTAATGGAACATTAGCTAAAACAAATACATCATCGATTATTATTGATGTAGCAAAAAGTACTATAATTGCAACAAATTTAATGATTGATACTATTGGAATGTATGTTATTAAAGTTCAATTAGCATCATCGAATAATGAATTTGTATTTTCGCTTATATCAAATGGGATTTTAGTTAAAAAGAATTCAAGTATGTTCTCTTTCTAAATTAATTTAATATATTAACTTTTGATTCTACTCTTTTTCAAGCGACTCTTGATAGTGATAGTGGCTTCCCATCATCATATATTATATTTGCTGGAGATTATGATACATTTCAAACAAATGGTTTACTAGAAATTAAAAGAGCAATTATCTATAATTATTTAATTTACATTGGAATGCCAATTACGAGTGATATTACTGTAACAAAAGGTTTGACAATGAATATATGAAGTTTCTTTTGTTTTCTTTATATGCTTTATGTTAATAGGTAGTATTTTCACATCGTTTGTTGTGGATTCCAATCCTACAAATTTAGCTTCAGCTGTAGACACTATTGCTTACGATCCAAATGCTATGTCTGACTTAACAGCTACATCAATCAATATTAATGGTAAAACATATTCGACTTCAGCTTCTTCATCCGATTCAACTAATGAAAGTTCATCATCAAATCGTACGACATTAATTATTATTATTGTTGTGTGTCTTGTTGGTAGTGCAATTATTATACTTGGTGTGTATTTTGGTATTAAATCATATAAAAAACAACATCAACGCCGTCGTCTTATAGATGCACTTACAGATCAATGTTCAACTAATAATGTTGAAATGCAAACTGATGAAAATATTACAACACAAACGGAAGCAAGAAAAAATAATTTTCAACTTACACAACATGTATTAGGTGCAGTTGGAATTTCACCAAAGAATACTAATCAAGTTAAACCATTAATTACAAATATGGAAAAGACAGATCGACCACCATCAGGTTCTGTTAGTGTCACTATGCTTGATTTTACTAATGTAAACAATGACGATCGTGAGAATGGACCGTTACCAGCTGTTCAATTGAAAAAATAAGGACATTTTTTTTTCTTCGATTTTTTGACATGGTTGGTGTTATGTTATAACAGTTCAGGTTGCTGATCTTTTCCTTTCTTTTTTTGGTATTTTCTTGCATGTCATTACATTCGCATGTACCCAGGTCAAGAAAGACAGATTGGTTCCGGTCAGAAAAGCCCAAGAAATAGTCAGAACTTGGAAATAGGAATCTGGTGAGCAGATTTGTCTAGTTTTGGTTAGAATCGGACTTCTCTTTCCAAGTTTCTGCCATTTTCTCAAGTTTTTCGGAGGGTTCTTACAGGAATCATTGACTTCGGTATAAACTATTTGTTTCCTTTTTCTCAATAATTTATTATATTGTCTCTGTTGTGTCTTTTTTACGTATCAAGTAACCCGATATTTACTTTATGTTGTTCTTACTCGAATGAACCTTAAATATATGACAGTTGAATAGAACTGATCAAGTTGACTATAAAAAAAGTTGTGTTCAATATTCTCAATCGATTTTTGTATGAAAATTTTCCGAAATACTATTGATCAGAAGAAATGGTTACAATACGAAAAAATTGTTTCATACATGATTGATATTTAACCGTTTTCTTGTGAATTTTGACTAATTTTGCCTTAACAAAATACTGTAGTATGAGATAGATTTGTGGGCAAATCTTATACGCCTCAAACAAATACCTACCAAAGATACCAACTTTTCAAAGGCATATACTTGATTGATTTCTTTTGCTTACTTAAAATTAGCATACATATGTGAAACAATTAAAAATGAGTTTTTAACTCTCTCCAGTTGTTGTTGATAAATTGAATTTTCACATTGATGTTCGATATAAAATTGCAAGAAAAAAACCTAAAGAAAAAAGTCGCAAAAGAGTTTCAATCGCACAGTAGGCGAGTTTAAATGGGCAAGTGGACATTTTAGTTTAAAAAAGAGGCAGTATAGCCACGAAACTATTTTTTGCAAACTTTCAAATTTCAGTCAAGGGAAGAGCAACATTGATTACAAACATACCAATCGATCATAATCAAGATAAAAAGAATCAATTTTTTTCTCTCACTTGGGCATCGTGTATATAGTTACGTGTTCTGTTTCTCTTCCTAAAGACGTGGAGTCATTTTTCCTGCCTTTTTTACCAACATTAAAACGGCGCGTATGAGCCACTCAATAACGAACATATGAAAGTATTTTTAATGCGCATGCAATAAACTAAAAACAAATCGGAAAAACAGAATTCTATCTTGATCAATCAGAAAAAGCCCTCAACTTCAAGACAACTAATGATAGTCTAGGTAATCGAAATATGAAGCTTTTCTCTCCTCGATTCCAAAGTATTTCAGCTTTTTTTACTAGAAACTATAATGATCGTCAAAACACCTGTTTTTTATGAGACATTTTCTTATTGGTTACTATTTTAAAATCATATTTTTGAAGATACTATCGTCTTTATTATTGCAAGTCAAGATTGAATTGATATTGTCTTCATCATTTTGGGTGTGGGTGTGAAGAGAGGACTCTCCCATATCATACAGTTCACTCCCCACCATATTTAGAAAGTTCACGTTTGATAAAACCTTTATGTAAACATGATGTCAGAGATAGAAATGACTAGGACTGGGACAAATCGTAAAAGTTTAGATATATAAGAATTGTTGTTTTTAACCAAAATTTGAATTTCTGACTCTAGAATACTCGACTTTTCTTTTGCCTTAGCGAACAAAATTTTCCTGGAAGTTTTAGAAAGCATACCCTTTAGATTTCTGCATTTTCAAAAATCTTTGAATTTAAAAGGAAAACTACTGTGGTCCTTGTTTAAAGAACTGCCGATCAGGGCATGAAATCGAATAATTTAAGGAAGCAGGACTGAAAAATGATGTGCATCCCCATTACTAATGGAACATCCAGAAAGAAGTAAAAAAATCTGGCACGAGTTCTCCATATGTGGAGGTTGCAGAAACCGCTATTTATTCTGACTTGAAATCAGATTGTGACTACCGCATGCATTGAGATTCTGTAATGGTACTCTACGCTATGTAGAACGGTATTTATTCTTGAGTTTAGCTAAACTACAGAATGTTTGCGGTCCTACCAATACTCAATTGACGATGGACCTCATCAAACTATCAGCGTCATGGTTTTTCAGCGTTGTGAAACTTCACATCTGTCAAAAATTAAAAAGAAGGACAATAAAAGACGCTTTAAGAAAAGAAGGAAAAATAGAAAAAAAGGACCGCTGTGGGGCCTGTTTATGTTATATGCGAAAGAAATCATTATAATAGAAAAATATATTCTAGAATAACTTGATTATGTAAAAATGTTTTAAAATTACATTGACAGTAAAAAGCAACTTTGAGTACCACGTTTCGATTGCATGCACAGACGATGAAACGAACCTTGGGAGTTGTACCATTGCTATTAGTTAAGTGAATCATTCAGTTTCAAATCAGTGACAAAATTTTCAAGAATCATATAATTCCGTTTATTTTCACCTTTTCCAAATAATTGTCATTGAGCTGCCAGTTCTGGTATTATTTAATGCATGAATCACTAATGCCGTATCAACACTGTTCTACGTAATTGAATCATACGAGAATGTTAAGCAAAACAGCAACCATAACAAAACGTCACTTTCAGTTCGAGAAGTTCGTTGCTTCCGAAAGATTTGCCGAAAAACATACCGCCTTAGCGATGACTGGATTCAGGAATCTTTCCTATGGCCACATTGTGTGCATTTAAACTCTTAATCAAAAATCATGTTCACTCTGGAACCAAGCGTAGCTGTTAGTAACATCATCGCTCATCACATCATACAGGCGTTAGCCTCATAACAAATCTGTTCAATTATAGTGCTCACTTCGAAGCCAAACTTGATTGTTGACGACATTATGGGTCATCATGTCACAAATGAATCACTCCCAAGAGTACTCTGTTCAACTATGGTGCACACTTTGAAGCCACGTTCGGCTGTTGTTGACATTATCGATCATCAAATCACAAATGAAGCATTTGCAGCATCACTCTGTTCAGGTATGATCCTTACTTTGAAGGCAAGCTTGGCTGTTGGTGACATCATCGACCGTCGCATGAAAAATGAATTCTATAGACTCGCATTTTTTACATGGATTGCTGTGTTCCAGTACTAGGGTTCCGTACACATATCGTGAGGCTTGTTTCTGAATTACTTACTCCACACAAAACACATTGGATAACTTCTTGGTTGTGGGTGTGATGGAAGATAGAACTGTCCTACGCATCCTTCCACATACACCCAGATCAACAGGCAACTCTCTATTGGGGCGATCTTCGATTGCAACACTCACCACGAAACTGGCAGTGAATCGAGCATGTTTCGTTCTCATGGAGAACATATGCAACTGTTAATTGCTGATCGAAGTGATGTTTTACTCATTAATGGGACAAGTGAGATCAGAGAAAAACTTTAAAAACTGCTTCCAATGGGCCTTCCAAAAGGAATTATGACCAATTTAGCAGATTTTCAGTTTATAACAAGGTTTCCATAAAAAAATTAAAAGGAGATATTTTCATCTGAGTTATCGCTTAAAAATAAGCTTCTTGACCTTGCATACATAGCGAAAGTTAAAGCCAAGGTAGATGGTTCATTCTCAGTATCGAATACCGATGAAAAATTAGCTTTCTGACTTTCCTATGGCATGCGTTGCTGTTTTTTGAATATGCAGTATTTCGAGAACGAGCAATCCGTTTTTATTAAAATGGTAAAAATATACACAGGATGGAGACTCCTATTTATCAGCGAACATTCAGATGAAATTTGTTTGTGAATTTTCCGTGGATACCTTGCCACAAGCCGAAAACCCCATCAAACCGGCATAACTGCATACGAAAGGTCTATGACAGCCATTCTTTCCAGCTTTCTCTGGTGCCACTGAGTTCTGTCTATGAGAAAAATGTCACCTGAATCGGTGATTAATAGTTGCATATAGTTTCATGTGAAACAATTACAGGAGCTCTGAGAACAGCGACTACATTTCACTCGGCAAAGAAAATACCAACAAAACAAACTAGTATACTAGAGTGACTATCTCTGAAACAGAAACCAACACGAAATTTCGTCTTCCATAACCAAAAAAGACAACCCTTATTTACCTAAGAACAATCACAACTTTTCGAAAACTTAGAGGTTTAACTGTTGCAGGTCACAGCTAAATCTCAAAAATTACACATCAAAGTCACTTCAATTCGAACCTCCCACGATCCTCACTTAATCCCAGTAATTCTTTTATTAATATGAGACTAAGTGACTTTCGAATGGTCTCCCAAACCATCAACCTAGAACAAACCAAGACTCGATAATTGGCCATCGCATCACAAATTAATCATTGCCACCAGTATTCTATTCAACTATCGTGCTCACTACGAAGCCAAATTTGCCTCCCCTGACACCATCGGCCATCGCACCATAAATTAATCATTCCCATCAGTACTCTGCTCAACTATGGTGCTCACTTCGCAGCCAAATTTGGCTCTTGTTGAGATCATCGACCCTCGCACCACAAATGAATCATTCTCAAGACTACTCTGTTCAACTATGGTGCTCTATTCGAAGGCATATTTGGCTGTTGTTGGGATCATCGATCACCGCATAACAAATCAATCATTCTCAAAACTACTCTCTTCAACTATGGTGCTCCCCTCGGACCCAAATTTGGCTCATCTTCAGGTCAACCACCATCGCACCACAAATCAATCATTCTCAATAGTACCCTGTTCAGCTATGCCGCTAACTTCGACCCAAATTTGGCTGTTGTTCACATCAACCACTATGGCAGCACAAATGAATCATTCTCAAGAGTACTCTGTTCAACTATGGTGCTCTCTTCGAAGCCATACTTGGCCGTTGTTGAGATCATCGACAATCACATCACAAATCAATCATTGTCCAAAGTACTCTGTTGAACTATGCTGCTCACTTCGAAGCAAGATTTCATTGTTGTTGCCATGCTCGAGCATCGCACCAAAAATCAATCACACT